CCCCCCTGCCCATCAACAGCGTGACATTTCTGACAGCAAGGGACCCAGACACATGGGTGATTTTCCAACCATCACCGTCTGGGCCCGAGGTGCAGGAGAAGATACCAGTATGTGTGAGGAGCCTGTCACCAGACGTTGGCTTTGATTTGTCTCAAGTCTGGGACTTCCACATAAAACTGGGCTTGGGAAAGGACTTCTGCAGCTCAATGACAGTTGGAAACCGCCTCGGCGGTTCTGTGTAAACAGACTCGTTTTCTCTGCCAGCTCAGCCCTCGCTTCCCACGAGACTCCAGTCAAGTAGTTTCCTCTCTGCCCCTCAGCGATCTCCCCGCGAGCGGGCACAATGACAGTGGCACACAGCTCACCGAGGCTGGGCCCGCAATGACGAATGAAGCCCTGTGCTGTGCTCCTCTCTACGGGAGCATATTTCATTTTGTTTTAAGCAAGATCATGGAAAAACTTGGATCACTTCCTACAGCGGGAGGCTGGAAGGAAGCAGTGGGGGCCCTGCTGCAGGCCACAGCTTCCCTCTTGTGTTTCCTAGAAAACTTTTTGGCAGCCCAGCCATCAATTCAGCAGATTCAGGAGTCTCCTTCATTTAGACTTGACCAGGATGCTGCTCAGGCAAACATCTCTCGGGGAGCTCCCCCCTCTCTGTTCCCTATAAAAGGCGGGCAGAGCAGCCAGAGCCACGGAGAGGCTGGGACAGGCCCAGACACCAGCAGCCCTCGCCTGAAGCTCCCCCAGCCTGCGGCATGAAGGCCTCCGCGGCGCTCCTGTGCCTGCTGCTCACAGTGGCCGCCCTCAGCACCCAGGTGCTCCCTCAGCCAGGTGAGGCCTCCTCCTGCCCTCTCTCTCCTTCTCCCTGTTCCTCTCTCCTTCTAGGAAGTCCTAAGCCAAAGTGCCCCACTTCCCAGCCTATCAGAGCAGCAGGGGTCCCAGGACCCTCACTTGAACATCTAATTTTAAAGACGGAAAGCAGAGCCCACATTGGGGACAGAGGAGTCCTACCTCCTCCCACCCCCAGCCATGGCAAAGCCAGAATAAAACCTAAGCTGCCCACTCCAAATCCAGGGCCTTTTCTTTGGTCCCAGCTGATCTCCCCAAAGCCTGCAGATTGGGGGTCATATCTAGGATCTGTCACATTGGCCTCCGAGGTCAGCAATGAGGTGTCCCCACCTTACCTCTGAGAAAACTGACTTCACACCTGAAGCCACCTGTTCCAGGTCCCACCGCCTTGGGGCCGAGGGCGGGAGCACTGGGCCAGGGGTGGGTAAGGCCACTTCTGCTTCTCTGCTCTCCTCCTGCACACATTTCTTGCTGCAGTCAAGCTGAGGAAAACCTAGCACCTGCTGACGGGCTTTTTCTCTGTGGCTTTATTTCCAGATGCGCTCAATACCCTGTCCACCTGCTGTTTCACATTTACCAACAAGAAGATCCCTTTGCAGAAGGTGAAGAGCTATCGACTCACCAGCAGCCAGTGTGCCCGGAAAGCTGTCATGTGGGTAGAAAACCCATGCTCACCTCCACACCCGCCTCAGCTCACCCCATTCCCCAAAGCCCCCGATCCAAGGTTCTGCCCTAGAAGACAGGCATCAGGTTAATTTAGGACCTTATACTCAGGGAATGAGATCTAACCAGACTGGGTCATCCAGATCCTCCTGTTATTACATCAAAACCAGGCCAAGCCTTAGGTAGTTTGGCTCAGTGGTTAAAACACTGGCCCGCAGGCTGAAGGGTCCCGGGTTCGATTCCAGCCAAGGGCACATACATCATTTGCAGGCTCCATCCCTGGCCTTGGTCGGGGCAGGTGTGGAAGGCAACCAATCAATATGTCTCCCTCCCTCCCTCTCTCTCTCTCTCTCTCTCTCTCCCTTCCATGCTCTCTGAAAAGCAATGGAAAAAATATCTTCAAGTGAGGATTAAACAAAAATAAAAATAAAAATAAAAAACCAGGCCCAGAGCGGGCCAGTAACATGCCACAACCTGCCTGCTCCCTGAATGGACGCCCATTCACACCCTCTCGGGGGCTTTGGTGGCCAGGCCAGCTCCCCCCAGGGTGGCAAACACAGCGACTATGCCCAGACCCTTCCTTCCTTCCTCCGGGAAGGGGGCATCTCTTGGGTAGAACCCCCACGGCCACCCATCTAATGGTGCTGGCACTTCATCCACAGCTTCAGAACCAAGCTGGCCAAGCACATCTGTGCCAACCCGAAGGAGAAGTGGGTCCAGAACTATGTGAAATACTTGGATCGGAAGTCTCACAGCCAGAGCACCTGAACGCCTCCAGCCACGCGAAGACCAAGCCAGAGTATGAAAAATGAATCTCTGCTCTCTTGCAGCCATCCCTGCACCAACTGCACTGTAACTTTCAAATAGGGTGCTTTGTGATGCAAGGATATTTTGTCTTAAGTAACACTTAATATTATTTAGTTGTTGCTGGTTTGGAGTTTATTTTGAATACTGGTGATCTTTTTTTTTTTTTTTTTTTTTTTTTAGCAGTCCTTGAACCAATTGGTTTCTGTCATGAGCCCTGTCCCTCCTCCTATAAGGTACAGACAGGGTCTCTCTCCTGCCTACTCCCCAGGGCTTGTGGCCATGCCTGTGACAATCGTGGGGATGAGGAGCTATCGCAATGTGGAGGGAAGTGCCTTGTGAATGTCAGGTATTATTAACTAAGTATGTTATTGTGGAAAGAAGAATGTGATCGTGGGGCTGCTGATGTTTTGCAGAAAATACATTTTGTTTAAAAATCTCTAGCACTGGTGTTTTCTTTGAGGGTAACTTCCGATCATCCAGAGACACTCTGAAGAGCAGGTGGGTGGCAGAGGGAGCTGGAGGAATGTGGATGCAGTGGGCCCTGGCTACGGCTAGCCTGGGAGCATCTGAGGGTCAGGGAGGGCCTGGCTTACCAGCCCAAAATATTCTAGAACAATGGCTCCAGTCCCAGCATCAGCTTCTAACTGGTCTCCTGAACCCGTGCCTTCCTGCTGGGAGCAGTCATCCATCCTGGAGTAATGCACACATTATGGGCACCTGACCCCAGGGGGAAAACCAGCTCACCCAGTCCTAGTTAGCACTGGACTTGACAGAGAAGAAGGGACAAGATCAGTCTTGGAGGGTGTAGCATGGCCATAGCAAGATTCTTATAGAGCAGGTGCAGGGTGGAAAAGAGGGCCTGGAAGGAATATCCTCACATGGTCAGAGTTTGGCTCTAGAATGGAAACATTAGAGATTTTAAAAGAGGAAGGGTGTGGTGTGGTTATGGAGCAATTGCAACTTGGGGAATTTGGAGTTAGTTCGGAAGCAGGGGGGTGATGCCCAAGGCTTTGGAGCCATGGGGAGGTCAGGGGGGTGTCAGGAAGAGTCGCCTGTGGGCAGGATGGAGTTGGCCGGGAGAATCGAGAACAGCCTGGTCCAAGCAAGAGGAAGTGGGGTAGGCAGGGCATCCTGGGGGCAGAGGGCAGGGGACAGGGGGTGGGTTAAGAAAAGTAGGCTGGGCATGCAACATGTTGAATGCTGGAGAAAGAAGAAGAAGCCTCGAAACATAGGACCTGAGACCTTCTCTCCTGCAGCCGCCAAGCTGGCCTTTGAAGGGTGGCAATCCCGAGACCCAGAATTTGATGGCCTTCCTTGCTGTTCTCCCAAGTCACACAATGCACAAGTTGGAGCTTGTGATTGTCCTTCTTCTATGTCCACCAAGGGGTCTCCTGCTCTTCCAGGGTGTTTCCCTCCTTTAACTGAGTCATGTTGGCATCTCTGTGAGGCCCGGGCCCACCCATGCTGGCCACTCCCCAGGACCCTCCCCAGGGAAAAGGTCCTGCTAAGCCACTCTGCAGGGTCTGTCTAGTGGAGAGAAGGTCCCCGTGCTAAGCAGTTACTCTTCATCTTGGGACACAGGAAAAGAGTTCTGGCCCCGGAGGCAGGAGCCCTGGGCTCTAACACCAGCTCTAATTCAGACTTGCTATGTATCCTCAGGCCTGTCCATGTCCCTCTCCAGCCCTCAGTCACCTCGTCTATAAAATGGGCCTGGCAACATCTGACAGGCAAGTGACCTCACCCAAATGTGGACCTAGCCCTGGGCCCCAGCTTGCTGCTACATGGTGCCTTCCCCCGCTGCCAACCTGGAAGCAGAGACTCTAATCACAGCTGGAGTAAATGCTCACCCCCCAGGACAAAGATAGTCAACCCAGAAGAGTCAATCATTTATTGGCTCCTATGGACAAGAAGTCAGTTCCCTTGGCACCAGGTTCAACACGTCTCCCCCCTTCCCCACCCTGCAGCCCCTGGCCCCAACTCCTCAATGCCAATCAAGTTTGCAACCTGAAATCCCTGTGGGGTCAAAGAAGCACAGGGAGGCAGGAAATGAAGGTTTAATATATATAGTAAGACAACATAGCTTATCAGGACCCTCCGGACCCTCCATGACCCAGCAAAGTTGGAACAGAACTGGTGGAGGGTTGAGGGCTGGGCGTCGGGTGAGGTAAAGCCATNCTATAATTTAATATATATAGTAAGACAACATAGCTTATCAGGACCCTCCGGACCCTTCATGACCCAGCAAAGTTGGAACAGAACTGGTGGAGGGTTGAGGGCTGGGCGTCGGGTGAGGTAAAGCCATGAGGTCTGGACAGTCCAGCGTAGAAAGGGATCCGATCACATTTCCCCTGGCAGGCAGGTTGCTATCTTATGTAAGTTATCTAGAACCCATTTGTCTGTCTTCAAGGCACAGCTCTTTCTGCCTCCTTTCATCTTGAATCTGCGGGCAGAGAACCAAAAAAGGCACCGAGTCACCTGCTGGGAACCACACCCAAGTCCCACCTCCCTCACCTTACTGCTGGGTGTCCAATGCTGACGTCTCTGCAAAATGTGAAGTCATTGGGTCAGACCTGTGGCTTGCATCCCAGGAGGAACACCCAAGCTTCAGGGGGAGCTTATTAAACTGTGTTTCCTGGATCTCCTCCCCCAAGATTTCAATCAGTGTGTCAGAGTGGAACTGAAGGTTGAAGACACTCCAAGGATTAGCTAGCAAGGAAAATTCCCCTCCTGGAATCTCTGGGAGGACCCCTCTGCACCACCTTTGCACGTGTCTGTGTACATCTGGGACGCTCAGTCATTCTCTCTGTGTGTGTTTTCTGATCTGCCAACCTCCTAAACTTGGCTATTGTCCCAACTGTAGACCAGTTCTGCCTTTTATTATCTGGGTGATCTTAGACAACTCTTTCTACCTCCCCAAACATCAGTTTTCATGATAACGACTATATGGACCCCAAGATGGTTAACCAAGACAATATACCATGAAAGTACCTAACAGATACTGAATGACAAGTGTAAACTGCCTTGTTCAAGCTTCGTAATGACCCTGGAGTGTCGCTATCATGCTTACTCTACTTCACAGGGAAGGCGTGCCAAGAGCGCCTAGATAATGCAGGGCAGAAAGTTACCGGCCCAAGGTCCCCTAAGACTAGAGGTTGGCAAATCCAGAGTCAGGAATTAATTGTGACCCCCTCACTCTTTTCACTATGCGGTAATACCTGGAGCTTTTAAGCAACTTTTTCCTCTGGGCACAAACTATTAGGATATAATACTTGGTTCCTTGAAGCCACAAGAAACAAAAGTCGCGGCGGGAACACGAAGGCGCATCCCTCCCGGCACGTGCTGGGGAGGGCGGAGCACCCCCTGGCGCCCACGCTCGGCTCTGCGCGCAGGCCTTGAGGGCCCGGCTCCTGGGCTTGGAAACCTCAGTCTGGCAGGACAGCGCCATCTAGCGCCCACTGTTCTAATTCCAGGTGAGCCCGTTTCTGTTCTCTGCAGGAGAAAGTCAGGAATTGACCCGGGAATGGCACTCACATTATCCCGTCGCTGTGGGAGCAGGAGGAGCTGGAGTTTCTGTAGCACTGGATTTTCTTCAGGGGAATCGCTTTCTTGACAAATCTGAAGCAGCAATTGGAGGATGACACATGCACTATAAGAGAGACACAAAAAACGGGTTGCATCTATTTCTCAATGGGGATTTCTTTCCTCTCAGGATGGTTTTGAAAACAACAATAACAATAACAAAACAAAAAAACCCTTCCGGGACAGGCTCAGTCTTTGGAACCACACTCAGAGGGCCCTGGGGCAGCACTGTCCCGTCAGCCACTTGGTTCTGTGGTTAGTCAGAGTCAGGACACTGGGGTTCAGATCTTAGCTCCCCACACACCAGCAGGTGGCCTTGATCAAGAACACCTGGGCCCCAGACCTCCCATCTGTAAAATAAGAGCTTCTAGACGGATTTCTAAAGGCTCTTCCAGTTCTGAAATCCCACCATTACTGTGTGGTTCTACCCCAGTATTTGGGTTCAAAGGCTCTGGATCTCATACCCTGGGGCCTGGTGAGTCTAGTGCATGCAGGACAACTGCGGTCTAAGAACCTGGATCAGGATCAGACACCATTCAAGGATTTCAAACTGATACAATGACGAGGGAAGAGCATCCAGGAACCAGTCGGCTCCCCCACTGGCTCTCCAGAATGCCCTGCTGCCCTAGTCCCCAGCCCTGTCCTGACCCCAGTCCCCACTCTGCCGGTTTGTACACCCCCTCCCTCACTCCACCTTCCAAAGACTTGCATTCCAATCCTGGCTCCTTCCCCCTGGTGTTACTGTTTACAAAGCCCCTTTTGTATATTTAGCATTAGGTTGGTATCTTCTAAACAGCCCTGGGAGGTGGGCATTATCAGTCCCACTTTAAATGATGGAGAAACCAGAGTTTGAGAGGTAAAGTGACTTGCCAAAGGTTAGCCAACTATTACAGGCCCAGGTCCTGACCTCTGCTTGTTATCTGTCACGTTGTGGAGGCAAGACCCTGGGCCGCCTCTGAACCTCAGGCCTCCCAGCTTGGACTAATAACCTCACAGCTCCCATCCATCACTCTGCAGGGTCTGGATGAGGCAGGGCCTCGTTTCACAGAGCTAGTGGCTCACTGTCCGTGTTTGCCCAGACTCCTGGTTCTCCTACTGTCCCTCTGCCTCACCCATTCCAAGTCCTCCATTCCTCTTCCTTCAGGGAGAATTACTCCTGGAGCAGGGGGGATGGATGCAGTGAATTTAGGGTGAGCCCTGCCCGTAACCCCAGAGTACCTGCCTACATTTCTGCCCTCCCAAGGTGAAGCTAAGTGATCCCAGCCCCACTCACGGCTCCAGCTGTTCACGTCCTGCAGACACATCCCTCCTAGCAGCAGGCACACCAGGGCCAGGGTGATGAGCTTCATCGCGGGCTGTCTGGCTCAGGATTCCCCGGAGTGGTCTCGGTGAGTCTGGTGGAGCTAGTGCTCTCCCCTGGCCCATCCTGTGGTGCCCAGGGCTTTTATTACAGAGAAGTGGGTTTTCCCAGGCCCTGGTGCAGAGGTGGGGAAGCCACCGGGGGAAGAGGTGGACACCCATGTCCAGTGACCACACTGAACACGCCCCTCAGCCACCTCTCCGAGGGGGCGCAAGTTCTGTGAAAAGTTTCCCACGTGCAGGAGCAGATAAGGATCTTGAAATAAATGAGTAGGAGCTGTCCCTCTGAGAAGTGGAGAAGGGTGAGTGAGAGGAAGTGGCCTCTTTGCGGCTTCTCTGATCCCACATCTTTTCATCCAGGGATGTAGCCACTGTCCTCAGATCACGGTGGAGCTAAAGAGCTCTGGACCAGGACTGAGACTGTCTGTGTTTGATTCCCAGTTCTGCAAGTTAGCCGTTGCTTAAACTTGTCCAACTCGCCAACCCACTGCAAAATAGTTATGGTAACACAGTCCTCACGGGTGTGTGATGATACTTAAATGAGATGTTATCTCAAGTGCCTGGCCCAGATATTTCCTATTTCAATCACCTGACACTTGTCACCAGCTTGCCCTGTTCTAGGCCCTCAGTTAGCTCCAGGGAAGACCAAAGAGATGTGTGCCTGACCTCCAGCTGCTATCCTTTGACTCACAGATAAGTAAAAGCCAGCCAGTGTAAGTACAGCGGTAGATGAGCCACGTGGAAGGTGCAAGAAAACTTTCCAAAGGCATTAAAGAGGCCTCCCAGGGGAATGATCCTCAAGCAGAGTCTCCCACGGAGGGCCAGGTGGAAAGGGGCATGCCAACAGAGGAAGGGGCACTGAGGCACGGCAGAGCACATTCATTCAGAGATGCTAGATAGAGCTGGAGGGGCTGGGGAATGGGGCATAAGGAGAAAGACAGGAGCAAGGAAATGGCTGGAAAAGATGTGACCATACAGCTACGGAGTGGCCAGGTCATAAAGCCTTTGTGAACAGTGCTTGCAATACGTAGCACATAGTAGATGCTCAGTAAAAAGTAGCTGGGCCCGGCTGGGCGTGGCTGAGCGGTTGAGCATCGACTAGGATCCAGGAGAGTGCAGTTGGATTCCTGGTCAGGGCACAGGCCCGGGTTGCGGGCTTGATCCCTAGTTGGGGGCCTGCAGGAGGCAGCTGATCAATGACTCTCTCATCATTGATGTTTCTCTCTCTCTCTCCCCCTCTCCCTTCCTCTCTCTGAAATCAATAAAGATATATTTAAAAAAAAAAAAAAAGCAGCTGGGCCGAATCTGTGCGTCAAAATCATGAGGCCAACGTGCGTGATACGCTCACAGAGTGCTGGCTGGGCTGATCTACTCGGCCGTGCGCTCTCTAGCTCACAAGGCTTCCCATCGTCAGCTGGACAAAGTTGAAGCTGCTCACCTGGCCATTCGCGGCTCCTCGTGTTATGGCTCCATGGGTTCCTGCATGTTTGAATATTTGCAGCTCCCTGAACTTGCCACAGGCTTTTCTATGTCCAGGATTTTGCTTCCGCTGTCCTCTGCAGGGCCCTCCTCACTGTCTCCCTCTGGGAGCTTTCTGCCCATTCCCATCGCCTTTGTATCCTCAAAGACCCTTCCGCTCACTATTCCCGTTCAGCCTCCTGTGAAGCCCCCTGTGCCTGGTCTCCCCCGCGGAGGTCTCAGTTCCCCGCCACCCCCCTGCTCCGTGTGTTCTTCAGACGAACACCTGGGTGGGCATCCTGGCGGGTCACGGTGGAAAGGGCCTGGAAGACCATCCGCAACAGTGGCTCTTAAAGTTTCCTGGGTGAGCTTTTGAAAATGCCTTGGCAGCATTTCATAATCAGAATAAAAACGTATGTCCCTATACCTGTTATTGAGGCCCCAGAAGATAAGAATCATGTATCCAGTATGTTCTCTTCATATTATGAATAGGAAAAAAGGTCTCAGAAAGAGGAAACTGACTTCCCAAGTCGTACTGAGAATTCATCGTGGAGATGGGACTGTGCACACTCAGTCACCTGGACACCTGACCTCCATGTCCACCAGCTCCCAGTCACCCCTCCAGTGGCTGCCTGCCTCCCAGAAAGGACTGGAAGTAGTAGAAATGACTAACCTGCTGTCGTCACTCTTCTATTCTCTTTGTCCTTGCAGATTGATACTTTTTACATTTCTTTACCATCAATTTAGTGGGCTTTTTGGAGAGGAACGTGACAAAGGTGTGTGACCAATCTGCCGAATGTTGTCACCGTAGGTCTTTTAAACTAACTTGGGACATGCAGAGGACAGATACGGTCACCCAGGGAATTCTGCCCCCTTCCCCTTCCCCTTCTCTTGGGGACGCAGCTGGCCCACTCAAGAAGTAGACCGGGCTGCCCCTCCAGAAACCCACTTCCCCTCCTCCCGTCACTGTGAGCCCAGGACTGGAAAACAGAGAACGGAAAGCTGGAGTCATGCCTTCCCCTTCCCGGCATCTCAGCACCAGGAGGAACTGGCTGAGGCTCTGTCACGCAGAAACCTAGAGCTTCACACACACCCGCCTAACCCCAGCACAGGAGTGAAGCCAAAGCGCATGAAAATCGATAAAACATGGCCTTGAGTGAGGTGGGTGGGAACGGCCTGGGATGGACTGATAGGCAGCAGACTGTCAGCATAAACCCTGAGCCAGTTGCTTCCATGTACAGCCCTTTTCTGAGAAGTCTGGAAACCAGGAGGCGCCTTAGAAAGGTCTTCTCATTAGTCATCTTCCGTGAAGCAGGTGCCCACCTCTGGGCCAGGCCTGGCCGCCTCCTGCAAACACAGGCCAGCCCCCAGCCAAGCTAGCCCGCAGGGAAACGCCTTTCTCCAGTTTTCCAGAGCCTCGTACCTCTGCTTGGGTGCCTTTGTCCCCTATGTTCTGTCTCACATTCAGCACTTTTGTTCTTTTGAGGAGGTCTCTCCCGTCCAGTTCTCAGCGACAGTCATCGCCCGGGCATCGATCATCTCTTACAGCAATGGCAAACCTTCAGGTGCCCGGAGAAAGTCCCCGCGTGATAGGCATCAGCTTATCCGTGTGTGTACACGGGCACTGAGCTACTGAGCTGACAACCCATCCCGCTGTGCTCGAGGGGAAGGAAAATGCCTCGGCCGACACAGTCCCACACGATGCAGCCACATGACGCGGCCACACAGCACCACCGCTGCGCTGTACGTACACGGGGACCTCACTGCCCCTTCTGCCTGGGGTGCCCCTTCCAGCCTCATTGGGCTAACTTGCTGCAAGCCGTCCTACCTGGGCTCCCCCGGTGAACTGGACTTACTCCTCACAGCAGGCACCCCCAGCCTTGTATTGCCCGGTGGGCCACACCCCGCCCTGTCTGCAGGCCTGCACTGCTTGACAAGACATGAAGCCAAGGGCCTGACAGGATCCTGGTTACTAGTTTCAGACCTTGCACCAACTTGACTGCACTGGTTGCAGAAAGCCATAAGCAATTTTCTATTCAGAACAGGGGTGTGGCCTTATCTGTGATTTGAACTGAGGGCTTGTGCAAGACATCTACTCTCGGAGCCACATCACATGTAAAATATGTCTGTCTGAAACTTAGCAAACACCTGGAAGTCCGGAGCTCAAAAAAAGCCTGGTAGGCAGCACAGGGGTTTGGATCTAGAATGTTCTGTCACCCAGTTTTGTGATTCTTGAAGCTGTCTGACCCTGAATCAAAACCATTCACCTTGCAAAGTCCCTGTGATGGTTCAAGGAGTTAGCCTGGGTCAGGCGGCTACCATATACCTCCTGGAGCTCAGGAGGACACAGTCCTTTAGTCCATTCCCCCCACCTGTCCCCATTCCCCACAGAGCAGGAAGAGCCCCCAGGAAGAGCTGGACTAGGTTATCTCACTATAGAGACGAAGAGGGGGTGGTCCAGAAAGAAAAGTGAGCTGCCACATGGGGACCCAGTGACGGTGCCCCAAAGATCACCCTGCCTCTTAACTCCCAGGCTGAGCTCTGCCTCTGTGATTTCCTAGCTTTGTGCTCATGTCTGGAGAGCTGGGCTATGGCCAGAAAGAGAAGGTGGGCACAACGGGGCCCAGAGAACGCAGGAAAGCCTTGGAGGATTCCCACAGCCCACCTGGAGCTCAGGGCACTGGGACATGGTGGGGAAAAAACACCCCCTGGCATTTTCATCCTATAGAGCAAGGATGCAGGGGCAGGAAGTGGCAGCAATTTGACTCCAAACTATGCCAGCCGAAAACCCAACAAGGCCACCATGATTCAGGGGACATGCCCACAGCCTGTAGGGAAAATCCCCTGAGGTGCCCTTCTCTCTCTGGGGAAGCAGATGGACAGCCTGGGTCCCACCACAGCCCATAACCCATTTACCAGGGCATCCTGTGCCCACAGCCCTGGGAGCCCAGGTTGGCCTGGGCAGCGGTGCCCTTCTCTCAGTGTCCCTCAAGCCTGGCTCCCAAGCTCAGCTCAGAGTTGGCCTACCCTGAGAGATGCCACCATCTCCATATTTGGCCTCCTGGGCTCCAGACTGAGTTGAACTGACCACAGAGAGTGCACTGAGCTTACACAGCTCACCCCTCAGAACTGGAGCTGGGCCTGGGATACGCTGACGTTCAGGTCTCCTGGCCATCACCTCTGTCCTCTGGTGGGACACCAACCTTCAAGTCACCCTCTGCCCAACTCCTCAACAGCACAAAGACCAGGACTGCTGCCAACCAGACGCGTCTCAGATGGCAGAGAAGGGACTGTGGAGAAGAGGGAAATAGGAGAAAGGGACAGTGTTTCTTCTGCTGATCTGGAGTCTAACCTGCCCCACTGTTTGTAGCTGTATTTCTCCTCCCACACAGATAGGATGTGATTCAACAAGATGGAACATGTTGAGCACCCAGGATGTGTTAGGTTAAAGGAATTAAAAAAAATCACGCCACCCTCCTCTGCCACCTCCTCAATTCATCACTGAATGTGTCCTTTGATATCCAGGTGTAATAAAGCAGGTAAGTGGCATTAATCGCACCCTTGCCTGCTTCCCTCCTGCACACAACCACACCACAATGAAAAGGGGAAGAGTTGCGTGGCCTGGCTTGGTCCCAACTCTATGCACATAAGCGACCTCATCTATAAGTTATAGGATGGCTACCGGAGGTCATGATGGTTACCGGAGGTCACGAGCCTCACAGGAGACAGCACAGCTTGAGGGAATGGGTGTTCAGCAAAGAAGACTGCTGCCAACCTTCCCATGGCTCCACTACTGTCTCCTCTCGCTTGCCCCCCTTCCCGGCCAAACTGCGATATTTCATGCCATTCTCTCCATTTCCTCCCCGCCCATGTTTTCAGTATACTGCAAA